CTCTGCACTACCAGGAAAGGAGTTTAGTAGCCAGAAGCAGAGCCAGAAGCAAGGGCGCAAGAGCAGGGCTACTGCTGCTTTTTAAAGCAAAAGAGACCACACCCAAGCGGGCTGGTATCTTAAAGGCTATTTGCTAAAGGAGCAGAAGGAGCTCTCACAAGTTTGTGGATTGTCTGTGTGAGTCTGTGAACAGGTTTCTTCTCTGTACTTCCCGCAGGTTGGTGAGTAGACCCTGAGACTTGCTCAGGCTCACAGCTGTTCCTATGGCAACACTTAAAAGGCACTTTACAGGTGTGAGGATGGTATGTGAATGCTGTGATGGGGGTCAGCACGCAGAACTTCACTGCTGGTTGCCAGCGGTGGTAGAAGGACATAAAAACACCTGCTTTATTCCTGCCCCAAAGTCCTCATCTGCCATTGGTCCCTCTGCTATCTCTTGCACTGAAGTTGAGGTTAATGAGATCTTGATGGGTTTCATTTTCTATTGCATCAGCCATTGTATTTTAGAGGCCTTGATAGCGCTTCTTGTAAGGGTCAGCCAGAAAATCCTGATTTTACTGCATAGTTACTGTTTATGTGCACATCCAAAGTCATCACAGAGAAATGTGTGATTTTTAGGTCTTCCCTCAAATATTGATTTGTTTTAATTTTTTAAGATTTTTCTTTTATTTTGTATGTAAAAATGTTTCTCCTACATGAATGCATGCATACCATATGCATGTCTGATTCTCACAGAGCTAGAAGAAGCCATTGGTTCCCCTGGAAGTAGAGTTACAGATGATGGTGAACTTCCAGGTGAAGGCTGGGAATCAAACCTGGGTCCTTAGTAAGAGTAACAAAATCCCTTAACCCCTGAGCTGACTTTCCAGCTTCAAGATACTGGTTTTCATATATGAAAAAAACCTAAAACCATCTGTTGTTGGCAATACATCTCCTGTGACCTGCTGTCCTATTATGTTTATTGAATAACTGGTAGCTTTCCCGGTGCGTGCTGATAGGAAAAAGATGGAATAACAATTTGCAGAGACCCTCGGGGATTTATCACAGGCACATTTTCTCTAGCTGTGCTCAGGGAAGCAATTTTGTCTTGTTTGGCTTTTAATGAATTGTCAAAGCGAGGATGAAGTAACAGGAAATGCGCTTGACTGGGGGATGGTAGGCCATTCACAACCCTTCGCATGCTGAGGAAACATGGCCCACTGATTGTTCGATTGTGTTTGAAGAGGCCTGGAGACCTTGACATCCAATACATTTTTTTTTCTCATTTAATTTCCTTTGTCTTTGTTTGCTTTTCTTTGAGATAAAAGACAATGAAGCCACAAAATACAAATATAAACAACTAAACCCTCAATAAGATGTAATTTAGCAGTCTTCCAAACTTGTCAGGCCAAATGAAAGGCTTTCAAATAAACAGATTTTGCCAAAAATAATGCTTGTCAATAGCATCCCATGGGTCAGGGTCCAGGGGTATTGAAAAAGAACTGGGCTTCTCCAAGCATCCTATAATGCATGGTATCATTTGCAAATGTTTGCTTTCAGAGACAAGAACACCAAATGATGAGTTTTGTATTCCTGCTATAGTAAAGCACCACAAACTGAGCAGCTCAGTATAACACAGCCATCCTCCGCTGGTTCTCAAAGCTAGACATCTAAAGTCAAGGTGTAGTGGGATTAGTTCCTGTTGGAGACTTCAAGGAAGACTCCTCTATGCCGTGTTCCTAGCTTGTATGGTTGCCAGCAGCACTTGATGTCTCATTGTTTAGTGGCAGCACCCCTATATCTCTTCTACTTTCTCTGGAGCCTCTTTCCTCTTTTCTTACAAAGGTACCAGGCATTGAACTGAAGATTCGGCTCTATCACCGTGATCTTAACTCGTTCCATCTGTAGTAGTGGAACATTTTTTCAAATAGATTGAAAACTGAGGTTCCAGGTGGCCCTGAACTTGGAGGACACTAGTTAGCTCACTATAGCCTTGCACTACAATGAAAATTCTAATCTTTGCTGAAGTCTATCAATGCTGGCTACTTTCTTCTTAAAAATCATAGCAAACTGCATAGTGTGTAATATTATAATTTGGTTATAAGTCTAGGCTTCAACAGCTGAGCCATTACCCCCACCCCAAGGCTCCAATAGTACATAGTCTTTCTTAATATTCTGCCCTTGTCTTAATTAACTTTTGGCTTTTGCATTTGAAAGTTTTGTTTACTTAGCCTCCTTTCTATATATTTCTACTTTTCTCAATGAACAATGACATCAAAATCTTCTAATCAGATTCCCCAAAATGCATTAGTAAGTATTTAGAGAGTACCATTCTCATAACTCTACCATTTAACACTATTTTTTGCCTCCCGACTTACAGGGAACAACTGCCAGTAGCAACAACTTTTATGGCACCAAGAAAAAATGTTGAAGTTGGCAAATCCCAAGAACTGAAAGAAAAAAATCAATGTTGCCCATTTGGGAAATGAATTTTGCATAAAAATATTCTCACCCAGAAAACTTTCAAGGGATTCTGTATTGGTCTCTTTCTCTTATAGAAAAGATTTCATTGTTATTAGAAATTAATTTTTATATTTCTTTTCCCAAAGTCAAAGATGCTGGAAAATATTATTTTAATTTATTGTTCCTCTTCATGCCACCTGACAGCACATTCAAGAAATATCAACAAATATACTTCTGAGTCACGGTCATTTAGCCTCTTAATGAAATTGCTACTCATAATTTCAATAATTTCACCTTATTTTCAGTTCCTCTAGTCATAACTGTTTTCTTTTCTGGATTGCTGGAGCTGACTTTCAAACACTGGCAAGAAGCATCCAGGAAGCTGGAAGACCCAAGGCCTCAGAAAAGTAGGAGAGTCTGCTTATATGTGTGGAAGACTGAGTCCAAAAGACAGGGAGAGCCTTTGTGTGTGTGATCTGTCATATAAAATACTCAACTCTTCACAGATTTTTCCAGTTTTCCAGACTTTGGTATGCTCACAAATCTCGAAGGATGTAAATACGCCCCTGTTGAGTCAGAAATAGGCTCCGTTGATTGTAAGAGAATAAATTGTAGTTTAAGTGTAATAGAATCTGGTGTCTCTGCTGAGAGGGAGCCCAGGGCTGGCCTTACCCTGTTCAGCATATCTCAGTGAGAAAGAAGAGTGTGTCCTCTTCCTTAAAGGTCACTTTCTGGGGCACCGCTCAACAGAAACTCTCCCTTCACTGGTACCATGGTCATATCCTGTGCCTTGTAGCTACGTAGTTCCAGTTGAGTAAAAACATAAGCAGTTAAGAGTGTGCATGATACATTGAAAGTGATTAATTAAATTTGACTTTCAGGTCTATATTTTCTCATAAGTGTCCAACATGTGGGACCTATGAATAATTGATCTTTTCATGACTTCTGAGAAATTCAAATCAAAGTAGGCATCCTATTTACATTTGAAAAGTGATTCCTTTTTTAAGGGTCAAATTTAACTTACCCATTTTGTATTTTTATTTTCTAAATCTAACAATCTAGAAATCCAGGTTCTACTACCAAAGGAAGAGGTGAATAGTTAGTTTTACTTCTCAGCATCCCACTACCTCTCATCCCTTGGGAAGAGTCTCAGTGAGCTATTGACTACATTGTGATGACCTGTGGGCATGTCTATCAGCGATTGTCTTAATTGACGCAGGAAGACCAAGCTTACCATGCTTGGCACAGTAAGTCCCGATCTGTATAAAACTGGAGAAATTGAGCTGTGCACAAGCGAGCAAGTAGACACTCAAGTAGATACTCAAGTAGACACTCAAGCATTCATTTCTCCTTGCTCTTCTTGATGGTAGCTGTGATAGGGCTAGGTCACCTGCCGTGGTGGCTTCCCAATAATGTTAGACTGTAGCCTGGATGTAAGATAACATTACCTTTCTTCCCAATGTTGCTTTCTGTCTGCATGCATCATTACAGCATCAGAAAGGAAACTGGCACAGTGGAGAAAGTCAACACCGGTTTCTGGCACGGCTGTTTGAACAGAGCCAAAGCCACTCATCTCTACCCCGCTGTATGAGAAGGTTAATGAACTCTGAGGGCATCTCAGGAGGACACATTCCTAGTGGGCCTCAGGCCTTAGGTATGGGGCAAATATGAAAGCTGAGAAGAGCAACACCTTCTGAGATCATCCATGTCATCTTTGCTAATATATCTATATTGCAAACCTTTACCTATAAGTCTACATTTCGGAGCATTATAGGAAGTAGATAACCTCTCCAACTGATGAACCAGTACAGCACTGTGCACAGTTTTCTGCATACAGACGAGTTGGACACGCCCTTTGTAAAACTGTTTCACAGTGCCACGGGGAGAAATACACAGGTTCTTACACTGTAGTTTTTTCTTTGAAATTGACATAAAACGTGACCAAGTTTCTTTCAAAATGATCTCTTTTAGCTTGTCACTAATTTTTAATGTCAATCTAGGGTTATGATATGTTTAACACTTTCAGTTTCCTTTGGCGTATGAGGGAAGCCCCTAGGAACACTGTTTCTGTTTTTGGCACAGACTGAGATTCTCAATACAGAAGTTCCTTAATGTCAGATCACAAGGCCATCTCTGGGAGGCTAGCCTTCCTTCCTGATTGGGCCTCTGAACTTCAGGGTAGTCTGACTCATAGTAAATACCAGGTAGTAAATACTCTCCATTTCATTGGGTAGAAAGCAGTGAAACCCATTTTAAATACAAGACACCAATATCTACATGTATGTATCGTACCATTCTGGTGCATTCTGGCTGCACAGATGCACGGAGACATACCTTGTTCATCCGACTGAGTTTCTTATCCCATCCTTTTCTCCACAGGATATTTGTTCCTCTGACTCCAACAAGAACGTTTTGTGGCAAATTGGCAAATGATAACATTTTTTTCTTTCAAAAACAAAAAAGCAGAGCAAATTGGAATGAGTGGTGTATTTGGGATTATTGCCTTTCTTATCCCTTTGGAGTCTGAAACTGCTGAATGATTCATATTTCATTGCCAGGCTCTGAAACTCTTCCTCCAGCTGCCTCAGACCCATGACAAGAGAAGAAAATCTGCAGAGAGCAAAGCAAAAAGCAACATATTTGTGGCTCAAGCTGGAAGAGTGGAAAGAAAGACAACCACTCCATGGATCCAATGGGATACTGCAAAGTAAGGCTTAGTGATTGAATGATGGCCAAGCTTATATTAAAGGCCTTATTTCCATTTACAAAATGATTCTCTTTGTATGGTTCAAGGATTAATGGGCTGGGCATCTTCCCAGCTTCAAGTATTTATTTAAAAAGGCTTTCCACGTCAAGGAAAAGCAGGTTCTGGAGTGATAAATTTAATGAGGAGATGTGTGACTTGAAGTTCTGCCTAATTTCAGGTGTTGAACATCCTCCAACCATTTTTCCTGGAATGGGAGAGATTCATCAAACGCCATGACTCAATTCCATTTGCGTTATCACCTCTAGTCAAATAAAAATGTCCTGGAAGCTGGGGATGGTGCAGATACCTACAGCATATGGCCACACAAGGCCAACCTCAGGATGAAAGCGAAGGAAATCAGACAGTTGCCCAGAAACTCCCAAGTACTGGCAACGAATCTGAACGAGAGCTGGAATTTTTTCACTTTTCATCTACTCTGTGTATAACCACGCAAAGAGCTGAAGTTGTCTTGGTGGGAGCTGTGTCTTGGCAACAGCCGGCGTGTTAAGCTCCCTGAGACCGGGGCTGGCAATGCTGTGAACGCCATTATTAATATTAATGTATTGCTAGATGTTCCTGCTCAGGTGCTCTGGAGAATACGCCTGGGCCATTGCTGGCAGCTGTTGAGTTGCAGTCTGAGGCCTGATTGTTGATCATCTCCAATGCTCTGTTCACAGAGTCAGGCCTGCTGGAGGGTTGGCACTCAATTTATCCATGGTAAACAAGAAGAAGTGTCTGATAATGCAGTGGAAATTTAACTACAATAGTTCTTATTCTCAAAAAAAAAGGTGGTTCAAACCTAAGTCAAGAAAGTAGCATTTTTTAAAATTTAAGTCAGTTACTTAAATTTTAAATTTTACTTAAATTTTTAAAATTTCTCTCTCTCTCATCTCTTTCTCTGTCTCTGTCTCTCTCTCATGTGTGTGTGTGTGTGTGTGTGTGTGTG